TGACAAAAATATCTCAAACCAAAAAAGTGACACAGACGTCCTTGATTCTTAATTTGAAATGACATGAGAGAAGGAAAGTCGGCTACGAGCTGGGAGAAATACTTCTGCTACGGGGATATCAACACTGCAGAGTTTTCATAATCTAAAAGCTGGCTCAGATAGAAGGCAGGCATACTTCCATAAAATAAAGGGAATAGTTTATTAAGACAGATCTGACTTTGAGTCCTCAAATTGTTGTTTTCTTTATAAACATTAAGCTAATTACAACCCTTGTAAGGTGTTTTTTTTAGTTAGATGCCAAGGGGGTTAAAGTGACTTTCTTAAGGCTTTATACTAAAACAGCAGAAGAATTTATAGTCAGAAGTGGTGGCACTGATTTCTATCCAAAGACCACAAGGTCATGCTGATGTCCCATGAGAATGGTAGTATAATCTTCTATCAGCCAGCAGAGCTGCAGCTTGGAAAACAGCTTAAACCAATACTTTCTAAGGCCCATAGTATCCATGTGTCAAATGAAAATAACAAGGTACAAAATTAGAATTGCCAGTTACAGAAAATTTTATCAGCTCTTGATTTTCGTTCATGTTTTCCACTGGCAACTTTAGTTTTTTCCTTTTCCCTGCTTGTTTACTTTTATCATAATCTTGCAAAGAAATTGCAGGAATGAGAGAATTTATAACATGAAGCTGTTTGTCATCTCTTTACAATCGAGTTTATTTTCAGGTGGCTTCTAAAAAGCTGAGTCAAATATTTAAGATCGTCAAAACTAATGTTCATAACTTATAATACAGGAACATTGCATGAACAGTCATCTAATAACAGTGAACTCATTAAATAAATTACAACATTTGATACGGATGAGTATGGTGTAGCCCCTAGAAATTATACTTGAGAACAATATTTAACACTGTAAATTATTAAATTAAAAAGGTTATATAAGAACACAAAAAAATTTATAAAAGAACAAAGTAAGAGAGCAAGTGTGTGTGTATATCAATGTACAAAGACTCCAAAGGCAAGAAAGAACTGTACACAATTATTATAGTCTAGTGAGTAAATTTGCTATTTGCAGAAGGGTTAATAATTCTAAAACTATGAATATTCTAGGACTGAGGATCTAAATAAATATATTTAATAAATGAGAGTTTGGTATTTCACACAGCTAGAAAAAGCAGTTATAAATTAAAAAAGAGGGGAAGATGAGAATGAACCTTTGGTGTTAGATTGAAATGGGAGGTATTGGAATGATAAATGTAGTTTTTATACACACATAGATACACAAATAGAGATAGATGTCTTTGTATATGTATATTTATATTCTGGCTTTATCCAGTGAGAGGGCCTAGAAGCAAAGACACCTATGTAATAACAAGCATCTAGATGGTAGACTTTCATTCTTTAATAAAAGGAAATCAGGGATTTTTATAAAAATTGGCTAATTCCAGGGCTGGGAAAGTACAAGATGCTGGAATGCAAGGGAGCATTCAAGAAACAATGGGGGCATGTCAGAGGGCTGCAGTTACTCCTAGAGAGACTCTCAGTGGCTGACCCTGGCAAAATTTGGGAAGCAAAATAAATAATGAAAGCAATGCATTTTATCTAATAGAATGTAACAAGCACCCACTAACCTATACTTATAAAAAATTAAAAATTAACTGAATAAAGAAAATAGCCTAATATGTGGGTACAGATGTAATGACTATGAATAACTTTAATTTTAGTATGTTGCTTTTCTTTTTTTTTTTTT